ACAAAAACCCAATTATACAGAAAGACAAAACAAAGATTAAAATCAAACAAAGATCAAACCTGAGTTGGTCCAAGGAAGGAGAATCGGTCTCTGGGTTTTAAGAAGGAATCTGTAACACAGAAATATCTTATGCACTTGATTGTGCCACGTGGTCCCTCCATTGCCGTTAACCTTTCCGCTGAAATACACCAAACACTCCACTTTGAAGTTAGAGAGAGAGCCACCGCTTCTTCATTCTTCATCAACTCAAATCTCTCTCTCTATCCATGGAAGCAGCAGTGCCACGGCTCGTCTACTGTGGACCGGAGCCAATTCGCTTCTCCATCTCCTCGCGCCGCTCCTTCGTCTCCGGGATTCCTCACCGGAAACGCTCTCGTCGGATTCTTGCCGTCGCTACTGATCCCAAACCTACACAGACTAAGACTAGCCCACCCAAGTCCACCACCGTAAACGGATCTTCTTCATCCTCTCCAGTCAACAACAATGTTTCGACGGTTCAGATTCTACTTGTTATAATCATAGAATTTTTAGATTGGATTGTATAAATTATAACCCCAAATTTGGTTTTATGGCCACAGAGAATTAACGATGTTTCGAAAGAGATTAAAAGGGTAAGGGCTCAAATGGAAAACGATGAACAGTTGTCTGTATTGATGAGAGGACTTCGTGGCCAGAATTTGAAGGATTCGGTTTTCGCCGATGATAATATTCAGCTAAGGCTTGTCGAGGTAAAAAAAGAAAAAAAAACACCTTTTTTTGGCAATTGAGCTAGTTTTAAAGTATTGACTTTTAATCAAAGCATTGTTCAACTCTGCAGACTGGTGAAACCAGTGAGTTCTTACCTTTGGTATATGATCCGGATACCATTTCTGCGTATTGGGGGAAACGTCCTCGTGCTGTTGCTACTCGAGTTATCCAATTGCTTTCAGTCGCAGGAGGGTTTCTCTCCCGTCTTGCAGGGGACGTAATAAACAAGAAAGTCAAAGAGGTAATATAGAGAGAATTTATTATAGCAGAAAAGATAGCTGTGGCTTGCAGCTTCTGATGTAAACTCTTTTAGGTAGAAATTTGAGTCAAGGAACTGTAGAATTTTTTCATTTCCTATCTTTCAGTTTCTTCTTTGTCCCAATATATGGAGTCAATGATGTGAAATTTTTGCAGAGTCTATATGTGACCAACATAACTTTGTTTACTTCCCTATGCATTCCTATTTCCTAAAAGTACTTTTGAAAACCTTCCACAGTTGCAGCATTTGAAAATTGAATCTCATTTTTCATTTGTCATTGTTTTTTCTTTCAGAATGAGGTTTCTAGGGCAATTGAATTGAGGGAAATTGTTACTTCCTTGGGTCCAGCGTACATCAAACTTGGGCAAGCTTTGAGTATTCGACCAGATATCTTGTCCCCTGCTGCAATGACAGAACTACAGAAGCTTTGTGACAAGGTAAAATGCAGCAAATTTGTCGTTTCCTTCACTCGTTGTCATATAATCTTAATCTCTTCAGTTAGAGTTTTCTGTTTTAATATGGCTAAACTGGCTGTTTCTGTTTCATTTCTTGTTTATTTGAAGGTTCCTTCGTTTCCTGACGATGTAGCAATGGCTCTTATTGAGGAGGAGCTTGGGAAGCCATGGCAAGAAGTTTATTCGGAGCTCTCTCCTTCCCCAATTGCTGCGGGTAAATTTCGACCATGTTATTCTTATGCCCAACTTATCATTTTAGTGACTTATTTTCAGATGATTTATAGTTATTTTGTTTTTTCAGCATCCCTAGGACAAGTGTACAAGGGAAGATTAAAGGAAAATGGGGATCTAGTGGCTGTGAAAGTACAGAGGCCTTTTGTTCTTGAGACTGTGACTGTTGACTTGTTTGTGATACGAAATTTGGGTCTATTTCTGCGGAAATTCCCTCAGGCAAGGTTTTGTCTGACGGCTCAGCTTATGCACTTATCGTACTCTTTCAATATTCTCCGTAATGACTTTCGACCTTCTTGTTCTTTTGGGAATTTTCGTGCAGGTGTCAGTAGATGTTGTTGGATTGGTTGATGAATGGGCTGCTCGCTTTTTTGAGGAGCTGGATTATGTTAACGAGGGAGAAAATGGTACATATTTTGCTGAAATGATGAAGAAAGATCTCCCACAAGTATGCTTCATAACTTTACTTCAGTTTTCTCTCTATGAGGCATCCAACCATAAATTTGTATTTGACTAGTACCTATGTTATTGACATCCGAGGGACAGTTCCTGATCATGCAATTATTGATGGTTTCAGGTTGTTGTGCCAAAAACCTACCAAAAGTACACGTCGAGGAAGGTTCTTACAACACAATGGATTGATGGCGAAAAATTGTCACAAAGTATTGAGAGTGACGTCGGCGAACTTGTGAATGTCGGTGTTATTTGTTACCTAAAGCAGGTAAAACTTCCTGCATACTTGTTGTGGAGAAATAGTAAATGTGGGCTTAGCTTACTTCTGCAATATGCTAATATGCTAAGTGATGTAGATCTTGGCATGCATATGCTAATACCTCGTACGATATTTAGTTTCTTACCAATTTAAGGGATTGTGATATGTTATTTACCACCTTCTATCCTAATTAGCATGGCTAGTCAATGTTCCTTACCATATATTCCAGTCATCTAGTGAGTAGAATGATTTTGAAGCAGGGACTTGTAGAACCATTGTAGACTGCAAAAATAGGCAAAACTTTTGACATGAAACTTTTGGACACCAAAATACCTCATCATGTCAAAACTTTGACTTTGTCTGTGTTGTTTTCTGGTCAGTCTGCACACATACTTTTTCCTGTATTAAAAGCAAGATAATGTTCATTTATATTCTTGTTAACACCAGTAACGTTTTGTGCTTCAGTTGCTTGATACTGGATTTTTCCATGCTGACCCTCATCCTGGAAATATGATTCGTACCCCAGACGGGAAGCTTGCCATCCTCGATTTTGGTAAGGATTTTAGTTCCAAGCATTTGGTTACACTACATTCAACGTGGTATGAAAAAAGCCTTATGTTGACATTTTATGTTTGTCTGTTCATTGACAGGTCTTGTTACGAAACTGACAGATGATCAGAAGTACGGAATGATTGAAGCCATCGCACACTTAATTCACCGAGATTATGATGCCATAGTAAAAGATTTTGTCAAACTTGGTTTCATCCCTGATGGGGTCAATCTGGCACCTATATTACCTGTCCTGGCCAAGGTTTTTGATCAGGCACTTGAAGGTGGCGGAGCGAAAAACATCAACTTTCAAGAGTTGGCAGCAGATTTGGCACAGATAACTTTTGATTATCCTTTCAGAATTCCACCTTATTTCGCCCTTATAATTAGGGCAATTGGTGTGCTCGAAGGGATAGCTCTAGTGGGAAATCCTGAATTTGCTATTGTAGATGAGGCTTATCCTTATATCGCTCAGGTATTTAAGATGAACTCCGTAACTGTTATCTGGTAATTAGAGCAAAATATGTCCTTCTGGCCAGTCCACTCATTCTGCCGTCTTTTAATAGATCTCACAAAATACTGATGGTTAATGTCTTCATATGACTGTTTTAAATTTAGCGGCTCCTGACTGATGAATCACCTAGACTGAGGGAGGCTTTACGCTACACAATATATGGCAAAACTGGCGTTTTCGATGCTGAAAGATTCATCGATGTGATGCAAGCCTTTGAGACTTTCATTACAGCAGCCAAAAGTGGAGGAGGGGAAGATATGAACGGAGGCATGGCTGAGCTAGCTCTTCTGCAAAACCAGACAAGCAGCCTGGTTCCTATATTTCCAGCCAGTGGATCACAACCGAACCAGCCAGCTCAAACGAGAGTCGCTTTGTCTTTTCTGCTTTCCGAGAAAGGGAACTTTTTCCGCGAGTTTCTACTAGATGAGGTACTTATCAAGATCTAACTACCTTTCTCGTCATCTTCTCTTCATAGTTATTGTCCAAATCCTGTCAACTGTTGTGAATACTAAACAATTGTCAGAACATTAACTATGTAGACAAGCTCACATTTACTTAATCTCTTAACCGTGTTTGTTCATGGCATCTTGAGTTCTATGATAATTGTGGTGATTACTCAAAACAGATTGTAAAAGGCATTGATGCAATCACAAGAGAACAGCTGGTGCAAGCTATGGCAATCTTCGGATTCAGAAACGCCACACCAGTCTTCGGTATGGTACCAACATTGGGACCCTTCAAGCCTGCAGCATTTCTTCCATCTGTGACAGAAGAAGACAAGGTCATCTTAAACAATGTTCAGAAAGTAATAGAGTTCCTTACCGCAAGAAGCTCCGTGTCGAGTAATCCTGATCAGGTTAGATTCATCAATCTCCCTGGATCTCAGATAATTGAGAAAATAAATCTCTGGAGTAGCGAATGTTGAACATATTTGTGGTCAAATATCATATAACAGGTTGTAGATGTATCTCAAGTGGTTCGAGAAATGCTTCCTGTATTACCTGGAATCTCTGTCACGGTACTGCCAGAGATTATGAGTCGGCTTGGGTCACGAGTAATGGCGAGAATAGTCCGGGATACCTTTCTGTAAATATTGTATTGAGCACTTGAGCTTTGTACAATTTTGCATATAAGTTGCATTTTAGAGTAAGTATAAAAGAAATCATATAGCTGATAATTAATATTGTTTGTTCGCCATTAACACCTACACTTGCTGTAATAATAACACTCATGGAATGTTATCAAGAAAATGCAGAGCTAAAAGAAGAGAAGGAACCCTGGGAGGGAGAAAATAAACTTGTGCGTCAATAATGGACACAAAACTTGTGCATCAATAATGGGCACCTAAAAACTGGCCCAGTTTAGTTGCTACAAACATAAGAGTGCATCTAAAATTATTGGGATTTCATATAATTCAAGGATCAAGAACAAGAAGAGATCATTACTACCCAACAACTTTTGAATGCAATGCAAAACGAGTTCAACCCGACAAAGACGAAATTGATGAAGAGAAGGCTTCAGAAGTATTTTTTATTAATCACGCTGGTTTCTTTCAAGGTCAAACAATGGCTTTAACCTTCTTTCTACCTCACTGCATTGTAGATCGACCTTACGTGTAACCATTGAGTAAGCAGCGTAACAAGATTCATCGTTCGTGAATGCTAACGTCCAACTCCCATCTACTACACCTTTGGACTTGAGCTTCTCATAGACTCCGTGCTTTGTTGGATCCAGGAACGGTAACGTAGTTAGTCGGATTCTCAAGTGTAGCCAATTTAGGTGTTTTTCATCTATTCGGGGCTGTATAACAAATATAAGATAGATCAATTCCGACGATTATCTTCTGTCAAACATTTTCGTTAAAGAAGTCAGTGAAGGTGACTACGTACTTTGCAGCCGGCTAAAGGAGCGGCAACACGGACTATTCCGTGATCAAGATCAGTAAGGACAATCCACCCAGACACACCAGATAATATTGCTAGAAACGATACTTCAAGTTCATTCTTTCTTTCAAAGGGCAACCCAACAGGGAACAGCATCAACTGCACCAGAAAATTTCAAAAGTTAACGGATACAGAGACAAATCAATCAAACTTAAGTTCTAATAAAGACATGGTGTGGTTGGGTAGATGGTGTATGAAGCATCCATCATATGCTAACCTAGCTTCACTTTGGTGCCAGGTTTGGGAATTGAAACATCCAAAGCAGTAATTGTAGCACCAGACGTTTCAGATCTGCCAAAGGGAGGATGGATAGGAGGTTGCTCCGGTAAAGGCCTACCGAGCGAGATGATTTGAAGTTGATGAAGAAGCACGAAAACCTGACGAGGAAAGGCTTGATTATCATATGTCTGTATCATATTCATAAACGACAAGCACTGATAAGAATTCTCCATATAAATAAAGAGAAAAAACAATTGACACACCTTTACCAACTCGTATAATCTTTCACCTGCGGTGAATGATGATTCGCTAACAATTGACAAACCTTCATCTGTAAAAGATATTTAGTTGCTAATGGATTTCATAAACAGGGTAATGTCCATATCATTCACAATTGTTATCAGCTAGCTGCGAAAAGGTGAAACAAAAATTTTACCATTAGAAGAGGATTTATCCAGCTGGAGAAGAACGGATTTAGGCTCTTTTTGAGGGGATGGACCTTCAATCACTGTCAGAAGAGATTTGGTATTAGATTCATTGTACATATTCTTACAATCAAAATCCAACAGATTGCTTCTTTACTTGCCTCTTTTGCACTTTTTCCACTCGTCAAGCAGTACTGTGATTAGTAGATCAGACCAGGTACCTTTAATCTCCCGGGTAAGAGCACTTGTACATTTCTCATACGAAACCTGCCAAATGCAGGAAACTGGTAAATAATGAGAAGAGAGTGAGAGGGAAATAGAAATAGTGTCAAACCAAAAAAAAAACATCTTGAAAGCTGTACATTTAGCATCTTGAGATGTTTGCGGTTAAATTCTGCCTCGCTGTAAGGAAGCAATTGGCGTAAAAGCCATCCTCCATCCCATAATGTTTCTGCAGATATGTCTTCCCGGCAGAGAAGACTGACCAATGCATTCACCACCTACACCACATTTTGATTAAATCAAGACGAGAACTTTTGCACTGTTATGAGAAAGAACCTAGCTTTAGAACTATAAATTTTGGTTTACAAAAGTTCAGAACTTACCTGATGTCTATGAACACGTGGGCACATTGCAGGCCCAGGCAGTGAACAACATACTCCAAACTCCTCCTGTTGAAGGTACTCAGAATGAATAAGTCAATCACAGTATAACGCAACACCAAAGAGATGGAGGTGGAGTGGAGAGGGTGTTACAAAAAACATGACAGAGGCAGTAAAGTACCTCCAACCTCCCTATATACCAATCTAGTTCAGTACTTGAGCCATCTCTCATAGAACCATTTTGCGGTGAAAACAGTTGTTCTTCACCAGAGTCCTCCCCAACCAAAGATTGCTGTCGGAGATATATACAATTAAGTTTTGAATAAGATAAAAAAAGGTTGTCAAAGGAGTAAAACATATTTTTTGGTCCACGCTATAGTAGATGGTCCAGTAAAACAATATTAGTAACCGGATAATGACAGAAACTCACCAGCAGAAGTTTTTTGTGCTGCTTACGCTGAGGAAGAATGCCAAAAGCATCTAGAATTGACTCATCAATTTCTACCAAAAAATGGAATGTAATGTAAGACGTCAAAACCAGAAAAGACGAAAAGAATCTTCACAACGGCACTGCCAATACCTTTTGTCTGCAACAAAGTCGCTAGCACAAACAGGGAACACTGAGCTTGCACATCATCTCCTTCAGATATATACTTAAGTAAAGTCTCCCTAGTTTAAAAAAGAAACATCAGCTTAGTAGAAAAAAGACAATACTATGATAGCATGCATGATACACGGCTTAAGAACTGTAAAAAAGCAACTATCTCAACTTCGTCCAATGTTTTGTTTGCTAACATGTTACCTAAATGTAATATGCGAATTGTTGAAGGTACTTTTGGCATTACTGCAAACGTGGGAATTTCCATTCTCACCCGAGATTGCAGTGCTTGAACACTGATGATCTGTCTCCTCAGCAACACCATTGGCTGGATGCCCATTTCCACATGTAAGGCGTTCATGAGCCAAGCTACTATATGGTAAAGGTTTCACTAGGGAATTTGAAATGAAAGCTTTTACAGGGAAGAAAAGAGTAGCAGCAGTCATATTTGCCAAATCTTTGATCCGCAGGATGCAACAAAGCAGATAGAGAGAAGTGACAGGATTGATAGAGTTATCCTGAAATAACAACAAAACCAATATTTGACTGAAAATTAGAAATGATTCTCTCGCTAATAGTAAAAACCAACCAGGCTAACAAAATAGCATAAATGGAAAACATAAATCAACCCTGAAAGGGAAATTCTGAGGAAAAGGTGATATTTTGAATATTTACAACCTCAGAGCATAAAGACGGGAGAAGAAGTGGGAGCGTTAGATGTTGCAGAATGTTATCTGTTATCAACCTCCCGATATCAGGAATGCCAGCAGAGATAACATCACTAAAGTAGTACAAGGTGTCCTCGATCCCATTAACGGCAGAAAACAATTTTCCACCTGAGTCAAGGGCTGGGGTCCTTTAGCAAGGATAAAATGAAAACACAAACAAAATAATTAGATAGATGAAAGGGGGTTGTGTTAAATAATGATCAATTTCACAAACTATATTCCTGGGAAATCAAAAGGTACTGAATCTTACTTTAGAATGTTCAACACCATTGCATTTAGATCCATGCATTGCTTTTGGAAAAAAGAAACTAATTTTGAAAAGTGTTCGGTGTGTGGTGGACTAACTACAAAATCATTCACAGTTTCATCGCCAACTGCAAAAACAAACTAAAGGCATTAAAAGAACTATTAAAAGCTCTGGGTTTATAGTTATCATTCGAGTGACAAATCGAAAACTATTATAAATAACTTACCGTGATATACATTCAGAGTAAGGGCCCGAATTGCAGCGCGTATCATGTTCTCTTCATGAAATGCAAATTTTATGCCTTCGACATAAAGGGGAAAAGATACTACTACATCCTAGAGGCAAAAACTCAGAATTAAAATATGGCAGAAAAAATCCATTAAGGACTTACAAAAGCAAAAGGAACATGCAAAACTTAAAGTATACTCACGTTCTCGGTCTTCACAAGCAATGATATTGTATGCTTATTTAGTTGTCCACTAACAGCTCTACGCAAAGGAAAACAGAATAGTTATCAGACACAGTCAATAAGTACTTTTTAACTCCGAGATAACAGCAGAAAATTGTACCTTAAAAAAGATATGTAGCAAGATAGAAGCTCTTCATGTTGGAAGTCAAACGTATATGTTATTATATAGTTTAAATATTCGTTACTGAACAAGTAGTCTGCAAGGAGTTTCAAAAGAAAATCATCAATAGACTCAAATCATGAAGAATTCTCAGAGAAAAAATACATTGCATCTAATGAACTCACAGATGGCTTGTTCACTTTTTAGGTTGTGGATCATAATACTAATGGTTTGCAACAGCTGAACAGAAACTGTTACCGTCCTGCTACTAACCCTCAAAATACGTACAAAATCTTCCATTACTCGTTTCTCCATAAAAAATCTGTAGTAATCGCAAATATTAACACAACGCCAATAGGAAATTTAAGGGTGTTAGACTGATATAATTAGCAAAAAAGACTAACTCAAAGAATGAGGGGTCATGCTGATCGCCGTAAGTTAATATCTCTGGAGTTGATCTCAGTGCCTCAACAACGAAATCCTACAAAACAGCATGCAATAAAAAAAAAAGATCAAATCCTAACAAAAATTGATGCCAAGATGGTTGTGAAAGTGCAAAGACATATGTCACTGACCTTATTGGCCTCGTTTACTATCTGAAATTTTCTCAGCTGGTCAGTCAGATACCTAACAGAAACATAGTTTCAACACTCATGTTTCATTATCTGGTATAATCAACGAACAAATAATGTCGTAAATCTACGATATCAATGAAATTTCAAGAACGAGTCATTCTCCTATGATCAAGATAGTCTCTTTGACCACCCAATTGGCCACAATAGCACCATTCAAACCATCAAACATTCCACTTCCCGGAAATCCTAAAAACAAACTGCAAACTGCCAATTGTAATTCCTAAGAGAGAAAAAAAATCTCTCAAGCACACAGTTAAAAGATACAATTTTTAGGCCAAAATTTCACAAAAATCGCTCAAGAGTCTTGAGTAGTCACAACCAAAGATAACCTAACTCACAATCGAAATTCAATGAAACAGAGATAAATCGCAACTAGAACTCGCTTGTACGTACATAACCCAGAAAATCCAGTAGGAACAAAAACCCAATTATACAGAAAGACAAAACAAAGATTAAAATCAAACAAAGTTAAACCTGAGTTGGTCCAAGGAGAATCGGTCTCTGGGTCTTAAGAAGGAAAACCACATGATTGTCAAAATCAATCCTTCTTCTTCACTCCTGAGAAAACCCCCAATTCCCATATTCGAATTTCTGAAACGCTCGAAAAATATTTATAAATATATTTTTGAGGACACATTATCCCAAAGCCTCAGAAGCCCATTAACAGGCCCAATACATATTTTCCCGCGCTTTCTCGACAACCCTTTTTGTTAGGCGCGCGCTCTGTGCTTGAGGTGCTTCTTCGTAGAGGAACGTAGGTGGAGGT